AAGTCTGATGAAGATCTTTTATATATTCAAGTGGTAATGTATTGATCACCTGAAATTTTTTAACTAAATTCATTGTATTTTGTCATTTATTTATATAGTTTTTTTTGCTGCTGCCTTCAATCTTGACCCTTTACAACACTATTAAAAACCAACAACCAGAAATTGTCATTTTACTTCAACAGCAGTGGGGACATTTTTAAAACTTCGAAAAACTGTTGTAAAATCATTCACAGACGCCGAATTGTACAGATTTCTTTGGGGTTTTTTTGTGTTGCAAGTTATTTAAGTTAAACAAATGTTGTTAGTAGTGGGTTTTTATTGTTATTGCTGCTGAGGTTGTTGTTGTTGTTTTTTTTTTTATATATTAACATCTTATGTCGATTTCCAGTCGATATGTCTGCTGGCAGAACATGAGCATCCGTTTTGGCAGCATAAACACTTTAACGCTTTTGAGCTTATTAAGTTTTAAAAAATAATGCTGATGTTTGGCTTCCTGCAGACTATCTAAATGTTGGTCTAAAAATAAGTTGTTGTTGTAAAATGGTGCGGTCAAATGGGACCTTTAAATTTAGGGGCCTCTCCAGTTATTTTTTAGTTTATTCACAAGTTAGCTCTTGAAAAATTTGTAAAGAAAATTCTCGTGATATCTGTTACATGTTTCTCATATATTTTTGTTAAAACAAAGTCTTCACACAAAAATATTTCATGGAAATCAACAAAATGTCAAAACTTCCACTAAAAAGGCCCTTTTGCACCGTAAGCTGTTCCCCTCAAACTCCTAAAAATCCAAAAATCAAATATTATTTGTAAATGTCTTTTATATTTTATGCAAATATTATACTTTTCGAAACTGTAAACATCTCCCCCAGCTTCCTTAATATAATATTCCGATTCATAGCACTTTAGCTAAGAGGGTAGATAAAAGACAGAGAGAACAACAACTACCAGTTAACATCTTTCCATTTTTATATATTTAACAGTTGAAAACATAAACTTTTAAATTTATGTGACAAATTTTCACCCACATTTGTTTTCTTTATTATATGCATGGCTTTGGTAGATAAAGTTGTGGGAAAATATAAACATGTTTTCTCGATCATCTTGTTAGCAGATCTTTTACTTTATTAATAAAAAATATATATTTTAAAACATAAAATGCATAAAATACTTAAAAGTCGCTAAAACCTAATTGTATTATTTACAAAAAAAAAAATTGGTTCAACTTGATGGTTAATAAAAATTTGTCCGCAAAAAGTTAATAGTTAATACAAGTAACCATAACTTATACGAAAACATGTCAAATGTCATGACAATTTTTCGAAGAGTTTTAAGAAATTTTTGCCGCTTCTTTAAAAACAAAAAAATTAATTTACAAGCCCTTAAAAACATGACATTTATTAAAGTTGTAGAAGATAACTTTAAGATAATTTTGGTTTGGTTTTTGTATTTGAATTTACGAAGTTAAAGTTTAAAAAGCGTAATGGATGTGAAAAAAAACATACACAAGGGGTATTAAAATACTATTTTTTTAAACATTAAATTGAAAATAAAACTCGGAAACTTCCTTCTATTGAGTGGCAAATGTTATGTTAGCAGATTGCTTATAACTTTTCTCTTAATTTTCCTAACATGTTCTAACGTTAATTTATTTAATCAGATCGATTTACAATAACATATTTTTACAAAACGTTTCCTTGTTTACGGTAACACCTCTGTTAGGATGGGAATATTATGACATTGTACAAAGGTTTAAGCTTCCTATCCCTCTTAAATCTTATCTAAGACCATCTTTCATATATACAAAGAGCTTTACTAGGAGAGAGGCAGCGTTTAGCACCTTTTTCTAGGACTTAAGAGCTAAAAGGTGAATTTTCGTCATACCTATTATGCTTCTTACCTGGTCTGCGCCTGACTCGAGAGCAGCGGCAATGTCATTTTTTCTTATTAAAAGCAGAGACTTAAACTGATCAGCTCCTCCTTTTTTGGAAATATTAAAGAGGAAAAAATGGTTCCATGTCATTGATTCAGAAAGGACAAAGTGAGTATTCAAGCAAGGACAAAGTGAGTATTCAAGCGGATACCATTGGTCTCAGTGCCAATGAAACTATTATGGCCAGAATTTATCAAACGAATAAACCCGATTTGGTACATCAAGTAGTTAAGTTCTCCAGATCCAGCGTCCTTGACTGTAAGTATAAGAACGTGGAGTATCATCCTGCCTATTGCATATGGAATTCTGAGAAATTCTAAACACTACTGATGTGGAGGTTAGATCAAGTCAGACAAAACTGATCAGTATCAAATCAGTCACCAGAACGAGACTAAACTCGTATAAACTCATATATCAGCACTCGATCGTTTACGATCAACAACTCCGGTGGCGGACAACTGCCACCGTACTGACTACTTTCAGAATATGAGGAGGTTTATACTATGACCTCTAAGCCTATGACCTTGCAAAGAAGATTTAGCCGGTAATTTGTAATGAAAGCTACTGGCGAACTACAAGGGCTCTTTTCGATATATCAAGTCGTTAAGTTCTCCAGATCCAGCGTCCTTACCTGCAAGTATAAAAACATGGGATATAATCCTGCCTATTGCATATGGAATTCTGAGAAATTCTAAACACTACTGATGTGGAGGTCAGATCAAGTCAGACAAAACTGATCAGTATCAAATCAGTCACCAGAACGAGACTAAACTCGTACCATATATCAGCACTCGATCTTTTACGATCAACAACTACGATGGCAATTGTTCGCCACCGGAGTCGGCGTACTGACTACATTCAGAATATGAGGAGGTTCATACTATGACCTCTAGCCTATGACTTTGCAGAGGAGATTTAGCCGGTAATTTGTAATGAAAACTACTGGCGAATTACAAGGGCTCTTTTCGATATATTAAGTCGTTAAGTTCTCCAAATCCAGCGTCCTTACCTGCAAGTATAAAAACATGGGATATAATCCAGCCTATTGCATATAGAATTCTGAGAAATACTAAACACTACTGATGTCAGATCAAGTCAAACAAAACTGATCAGTTTCAAATCAGTCATAAGAACTAGACTAAACTCATACCATATATCAGCACTCTATCGTTTACGATCAACAAATCCGATGGCAGTTGTCCGCCACTGGAATCGCCGTACTGACTACATTCAGAATATGAGGAGGTTCATACTGTGGCCCCTAAGCCTATGACCTTGCAAATGAGATTTAGGTGGTAGTTTGTAATGAGAACTACTGGCGCATTACTAGCGCTCTTTTCGGTATATCAAGTCGTTAATCATTGATCCAGAAGCGAAAATATGCAAGGGTAGTATTGAAGCGGATACCGTTGGTCTCAGTGCCACTCAAACTATTGTGGCCAGAATTTATCAAACGAATATCCCCGATTTGGTACATCAAGTAGTTAAGTTCTATAGATCCAGCGTCCTTAACTATAAGTATAAGAACATGGAGTATTATCCTGTCTATTGCACATGGAATTCTGAGAAATTCTAAACACTACTGATGTGGAGGTCAGATTAAGTGAGACAAAACTTATCAGTATCAAATCAGTCACCAGAACGAGACTAACCTCATACCATATATCAGCACTCGATCGTTTACGATCAACAATTCCGGTGGCAGTTGTCCGCGACTGGAATCGCCGTACTGACTACATTCAGAATATGAGGAGGTTCATACTGTGATCGGTACTTTGTAATGAAAACTACTGGCGAATTACATGCGCTCTTTTCGGTACATCAAGTTAGATTCTCCAGATCCGGCGTCTTTGCCTGCAAGTATAAGAACATGGGGTATAATCCAGCCTATTGCATATAGGATTCTGAAAAATACTAAACACTACTGATGTGGTGGTCAGATCAAGACAGACAAAACTGATCGGTATTAAATCAGTCACCAGATCGCCACTAAACTCATACCACTCAAACTCATAGCGCTCGATCGATTACGATCAACAACTCACAGACTCTTAATGTACACTTATACACAACCAAAAAGGATATGGTCAAGATCAAAGAAGGTAATGATATGCGACAAGATCAGCAACATCAATAGTACGTATCTCTTCGAAAACTTTTTCTGCAAGGAAATCTCTGGAAAAAGTCATATCAGTATTGGACTAATTGGATCAGTAGCATCTTGGATATGTCTTACAATAACTTCAAATAACGAGTAACTAAAGCATCTGATGATATTGTTCCAGTCCTATTCTTAAAACTCATACAATGTTGCCAAGCAACCACGTAAAGTTAGTGTTTGCTGTGGGGTTTAGATCTGCGCTATCAATTATTTGTCGAAAACGGGGTTAACGAAATAATCGTCGTGGGTTCGATTATCTCCAGAGACTCTTACTACTGTTAGAAAATAGCAATTTTAAGTATCTGTCAAGAAACCTTTTTTTACGAATTTAAACAAATTGGCGTCTTAACATCTATTATTTTAAATTTAGAAAAAATTGCAATTTTTGTCCTGAAATATTATGAAAAATTAACATTTTAATCCTAAAATAAAATTTAAATAAAAAGCCAATTAAAAATTTCTTTATAATAAATAGTTTTTATATTTCTTCTTTAAAAATAATATTGTCTATTTAGTTTAGTGTCCTCCATTTCTTAAAACTAAAAAAAATATATATCTTTAAAACTAAAATATTTTTAAATCATTGTCTTCCATTTAAAAATAATTACAAAAACTAACTTAAAAAATAAATATGTTTGTTTAAAAATAACAGGCACAGCAATTAAAAACTTAAAACTAATTTGTACATTTTCATTTAACAATAATCATTCATGAGGTAGAAACTCCTCTCTCTTACTCACACTTCATTCATTCTTTCATTCATTACCGAGTTGTAATGAAATTAATAATACTTTTGCGAAGACCAATCAATGGTTTGTTGTTTCTTTTTTTTTTTTTGTTGTAACATTAAAAGGCAGACTAGATTATCAAAATCGTTGCTTATTGATGATGATGATGATGTTGCAGCATTCATTGATCTTGCCACAAGGATATGTAGTCCAAAAGTTCTTCATCGTCTGTAGATGAGGCAGAACTGGTATTGTTATGATGATAATCATCAAAACTGAATGATGATGAGGTTGGTTCCATCTTAATGGGTGTAGTATTTGGTGTATTCAATGCAAATGTCGATGGGGCCGATGATTGATAATGATTTGGTGAATGATGGAATTGATAGGATTCCTGGGAAGTACTGGAATTGGCTGGAGAAATTAAATTGTGTTGTTGAAAGCTGCCGGCATAACTTAAAGGTGGACAGTATGGTAATGAGGTTTGAGCTTGTGGTTGTTGATAGTAGCCAGTTGTGTGATTGAGATATAGAGAAGGTGGTGGTGAGCTACTGGTTGAAGAGGCATACGATGAAACTGGTGAGCTGGTTGTAGCTGTTCCATATGAAGATACACTGGAAGCATCACTGCTACTGTCTACTTCATCAATCAAATTCTTAAGACGACGTATATATTCGGCAGCCATGCGTAAAGTGTCAACTTTGCTGAGCTTCTTGTCGGCGCCAGGGCCAATACCACGTCTGCCATTACTAATTTCAGCTATAATTGCTGTGGGTATATGTTTTCTTAAAGTAGAGAAACCATCATTGACTTGCTTAACACGGCAGCGTTCGCGAGCATTGCGTCTCACTACGGCTGGATTGTTAGAGTCCAAGGTAGTACCGGCCAACATGCTGCTGTTTGCCGAAGGTTTTGTATATGGTGCAGGTGCTATAGATCTTTGGTGGTTGACATTACGAGTTCTTAAAACTTCCCGTAGTGGTTGTTGCTGATGCTGTTGAGCACGTTGTTGTTGGTATTGTGTGGGTTGTTGATGATAAACCATATTTTCTGAACCCAAAGCCATGTTTGAAATTTAAATTTATTTTTTGGTATAATTTTTAAATTATTTAATTTTAAAAGTATTTTTTAGTTGTTTACTCTTTGGATGCTTGAGATGTAATGATGCCCTTCTCTGCGCCGTCTGGCTATTTAAATGGTTTCCTCTGGCATCCTCAAAGTAAAGGAATTTCATTCAAGACAATATTTTTTTTAATTTTACCTGCTATTTATTGGCTCTTTTACAGGTAACCAAAAAAATCAGAGATCAACTCTACGCATTCACAAAAGTTCTCTCTCACGCATGTAACTCTCAGCAGGATATTATTAACGAGCGTTATTCTTCTCGAAAGCATCCCTTTAAAATGTTTACCTTTTCTGCTCTTTAGTCTCTGGTTGTGAGTTTTATGGCCTAGAAATCCTAGTAGTTTTGAGATTATAACTTAAACAAACTCATTTTACTCAGATTTTCTGAATTCTTAGTTTTAAAAATATTCAAAAAATACTCTGAGTTGGGTTTATATTCGATTTTTTGTTTACCTGTAGAGACAACTGCAAGAGGGGAAATTTGTTTACCTTTTGCCAAGCTGGGAAGAGTTTTGAAGTTGAAATATTTCCCCTGATTCTGTACAGTTTTGCAGAAATTGACTTTTGGTTTAACATTATATTACAAGTGACTTTGTTTAATATTGTATCTGGTTGTCTCATGCTGCAGTCGCGTGCCGTCTGTTTAGCCGGTTTTATTTTGATTCTCTTTCTCTTCAGTATCTGGTTGAAATGGAAAATTTTGTCCTCAAAGTGGAACAAAACATTTTTATGTTTGAAATTATTAACATTTTCAGTTTCATATTTAAAAAGATGTCAGATAAATGGTTAGTTATGATTTCATTTACCAAAAAATTCTTATTCATAATTATAGTTATCGTTTTCTATAAAATGTCAATAAAAAACGCTGAAATTGATAACAACGCGAAAATCTGGTTTAACACCAGAAATAGTTTTTTACATAAGAAATGTATATAAAAAATCTCAATATGTACTTCAGTAGTTTCTTAAGTAACTCTCCAGTTTAGAAAATACTTAAAAAATATGACCACTCAAATGTTCCCTCAAAATCCGTAAAGAGCGAAACTCTATGATCACTCATATTTAACATCGAGTTAAACAGCTTTAAGGATTCTTTCTATTCCATCCGAATATTAAAAAGATACTTTAGTTTATTTTTGAATATAAAACTTATAAATAAACTATGATTTATTATTCACACCTCCTTTTATCTCAAGAATTTAATTTAACCGCCAATTTAATTTTATTAAAATAATTTAAGTGTGAAACATCTTTTTAATAAACCGTTAATATCTAACAATTTGTTATCACATTACACACAAATTCTAAACTTCAAATAGAATCACGTTTCTCAATCCAATTAGTCAATTCTATATAAATACTACTTTATACATGTGTTAAAATCTATTTACTTCCCATAAACATCCTTTCTATTAAACAAGAAGGTAGCAGCGTTAGTGATCAAAATATTTGTAAATTTACCGACATAAATCTTAAGCAATTTACATTGTTCTTTAACTACCATGTCTGGCATAACCACAAATTAAATTCTAAATAAAACTTGGTTAACACCCCAAACATGATCTGATGAAAGGGTTTGTACGATCAACCAACTAACAACAACTACAAATTATTAAAATAAATTTAAATTGTAACAAATTAAATCAAAGCTGACGGGTGATTTTGAACTAGAAATAGAAAATACTATCGGTATAATTAAAGTATATTTTCATGTTTAGATGTCTAAGCATTCTGTAGTGTATGCTAATTAGTGTTAAATAAATTAATAAAACACCTATAGATGAGCAGGAAAATAATTGTAAAAGAAAATTATAGATCACGTTCTTGAAGAAAATTTCTTAGATATATTATGCGGCAGAATAGTTACTCAGAAAAAAAAAACAAGAAATATGCAAAAATGGTATAAAAAGGATCGACAATTCATCTACACATGCGTACAAACCATCAATAGTCGATTTTTATATGAAAAATACCCGGTATAAATCCTAAAATAACGTCCCAATGGAGTAAATAACGAAAATTTGTGATTAATCATACCTTAAATTTTTTTTATATTTTTATATGAAAAACTTAAAAATTGGCTGAAGATCCTTAAATCCGGGATATTTTCCATCAATATCCGATTTTTATATGAAAAACCTAAAATTAGCTGTAGATTCTTAAATAACGCTCCAAATGAGTAAACTAGGAAAATTGGCTGTAAAACTTTAAATAACGCTGCAAATGAGTAAATAGTGAAAATATTTGATAACGAAAATCTGTTATCACTGATAATTTCCGTAAAAAATCGAATTTTATATGAAAAACCTAAAATCGGCTGTAGATTCTTAAATAACGCTCAATTGAGTAAATAGTGAAAATATGTGATCACTAATATTATTCATCAGAAATCGATTTTTATAACAAAAACCTAAAAACGGTTGTAATTCTTTAAATAACGCTTCTGCTATAGATCGTTTCGTATTACGGATAACTACTTCTAAAAGTGAACAGTAAGAATACGTATATTTTTATGTGATTGTATTCCTATTTTTAGAGACACAATCGTAATATTGGTTTCTACAATAGTTTACGTGTGGTGCGAAAAGTAGATTGAACTCAATCAACTAATTGGACAGTCTGAAGCAATATTTTTCATGTCTATTGAATATGAAATATGGTCCTCAATGTAGGATTTGGTCAATTATGGACCAAGATCTCCATAATTGAATGGCGTCATTATTTTTTTAATTCTACCATAATTCTGTCATAATGCTAAACTTGAAATTTAAATTATTTATAAGATATAATCTGATTTTCTACAGGAGAGTTTATATTGGAGGACCAATCCTCATAAAATTAGGTTTCATAAATATAGGTTTCGGTTCCTAAAAAACTTTTTGTGTCGAATTTCAACATTACTCCGACATTTAAAAACCAGTTATGAGCGTTTAAGTCATTTTATAAAGAGGATCTCATATTGGTTTAGGGTGAATTATGCTTCAATCTTCATAAAATTTAGTAGACATATTTTCGTTCCCGTAAAACTTGCTTTATTTTGGTATTATTAAGTCCGTAAAGAACTTCGAAATAATGTTTTGGAGGAGACCTTATATGGGGCAATTATGGCCGTTCCTCATAGCGCTTAGTAGGGAGATTTCGGTTGATATAAAACTCGATTATGTCATATTTCGGAAGGGAAGCTGGTATGAGTGGTAGGGTCAATTATGGACTTATCCTCATAAAAGTTGGTAAATAGATTTTGGTTAATATGAAACATGATTGTGTAAAAATTCGTCCTTAGACTGGCATTTTTAACAAGAGTTGAAACATTTTCTGAATTAGGGTCAATTATGAACCTATCATTGTACAATATAGTAGAGAGGTTTTACTCGATATAGAACTCGATCATGCTACACTGGCATTTTTTGTGACTTATTTTATTTTATACTAGCTATACCCAGTGTGCTTTGCTACCGTAAAAGCAATACAGTAGTTTTCGTTTATAGTAATCACTGTTATAGTCACAATAGTGACATTGTCAATTTTATTAGATTTAAATGTCTCTGTCGATCAATTTCATATAAAAAGATTACTTTATAGTCCATTTTTTGATATAAGCACTTTTCACATATATGCCATCTATCCGTGGCTATTAAAAGTCGTTTTATATGAAAAAACCTCACGATATTGTCACATACGAATTTTTTTTTAATTATCGTGAATTAAATAAAGTTTTTGTTGAAGAAAAACAATTTTCGATAAAAGAAATTTTAAATGCAGTAGATATTTTGCGACATTTTTGCTTAGAGCAAGATATAATTCAAAGTTTTTGTTTGAAAAAAAAAAGAAATAGAAGATAAAACTGTAACCAACATCCTCAACCTAAAACAGACTAAAATTTATGATTTTTTTAAATAATATAAACAATATTTCTTTAATGTAATGAATTTATGAAAATAATATTTATTTCTTAATAAACATGAATTTTTATACCCACCATCAAAAAAGATGGGAGGTATATTAATTTTGTCATTCCGTTTGTAACACACCGAAATATTGGTCATAAACCCACAAAAGTATATATCGTCACCTAAAATGCAAACGGCCCTAACATTTTTAAAATTTTACAGGAGAAGCAAAAAACTATTTAAATTGAAAAGTTTGTTTCTATCGACGCGTTTTATTTGTAGTAAATAAACAAATTATTTTATAGTGAAACGTATCAGTTTTTATGATAGCTAACAATGGCATATAAAAAACATTTATTATTTAAATATTTTGTAGATAGGGCCTTTTTTTGTCAATAAAATCGCTAATTTTGGTCGGAGGAGTCAATTTTATGTGGACATTTGTTTTGATGCAATACATCAGAATCAACAATAAAATCGTTTTTGAATTTTTGGTTAGTTAAGGCCGTTTGTGTTTCAGGTGACGATATATTCTGTGTCCTTATTAAATTCTAAGACGATCTAGCCATGTCTGTCCGTCCGTCTGTCTGTCTGTTGTTACATTATATGTTCCTCTGGTGTACTCATAACTTCCAAATTTGAGCTACGGGAACTGATGCTAATAGCTTTGAAAATTTTTGTCATCAGTAAAATACACATTGACACTTTCTGTCGAATTTTCCATTAAAATACGACATACATAATACCATTTTTAGTAAAAGATTTTTAACTTAGATATATTTCTATAGAAAATCGACGTACATAATACGATTTTGAAAATTCGAGAGAAAATCGACGTGACTTCGACATACATAATAAGGGTTATTATACCCTATTTTCTAGTCGATGTCATTAGAGACTTACCACGTTCGCTTCCAAATAAGGAGTTAAATAAGTGCTTACCACGGTCGCTTACAAAGAGGTTGTTAAGAAAGTAGTTTTGTTTTTGAGAAATAAAAAGAGCCAGAGAGAATACGAACCAGGGACTGTTATACTCACTGCACTACTGCTT